AAAACTTAATTTTTGATTAGTAATATGCATTGCTAAGAACTTCATTTGAACAACTTTAAAGGTGATTTTCTCAATATTTAGATTTTTTTGCACCATCAGATTTTAGATTTTCAAATAGTTGTATCTCGGCCAAATATTATCTATCTTATCTATTCAGCTTTCAGATGATGTATAAATCTCAATTTTAAAAAATTGACCCTTATGACTGGTTTTGTGGTCCAGGGTCACATTTAAAAAAAAAAAAATCCAACTAAAATGTTTCAGAAAAAAAGTTCCATGAACAATGTATAAATAATGCTTTTGTGTTAATGTTCACATTAAGCTATGAAAACGTTACTTGTGAATGTTCTCTGAACATCCATTTTTTAAAATGTTGGTTATATTAACATTAAGGAAACAGTTTTAACTTTTTTTTTTTTTTAAATGTTAGACAAACGTCCAACTAAAATGTTTCAGAAAAAAGCTCCAAAATAATGTTTTGGCACTAATGTTTTGAGAAGATTATTAAAGACCAGATAACTTTGAACAAACATTTCATTAACGTTACTGGAAGAACGTTTTGAGAGAACCTTGACAGAATGTTCCGAGAACGTTACCTGCTGGCTGGGTCATCCTAGCGTTTAATGCTGAGGAGGACTCTAGTCTACTGAGAAGGCAGCTTCACTGGGATGCAGTCTTCCAATTGAGAAGCTAAATGTAGTCTGTCATAGCAGACACTGCCCCCTTCAGACGAGGAGGATCTCAAACGGATGATTTTAATGTAAACGTATTTATTTTGAACTGTAAAGCAAACAAAGCTTGCATCAATAATATACTGCATTCACATGTTTGATAAAAAAAAATGTATATGATACTGTGGTTTATCAAAACGATGACGTTTTTTGATCTTCTTTTCATTTGTTATATAAGTGTACTCACTGAATGCATCATATAATATTGCTGTTCCTCAGAAAACGAGACGGTGGACTCGTCTGAGGTGGATTTTGCGTGTGGCGTGAGGAAGTGTCCTGAGAAATACACCTGCAGTGGCAGCTGGATTGGGCCCAATGATGGCATCACTCAGTTTGACAACATCTTGTTTGCAGTGCTAACAGTATTTCAGTGCATCACTATGGAGGGATGGACTGCTGTCCTGTACAATGTGAGTTCCTACAGCAGTAGCGTTTCAAAAAAGTCAGTTTTATAGTTGACTGACTGGATTTATTTTTACTCATGGATACTCATCATTTGTCTTTATGTAAACTTATTAACCTGTCCTAACCTAACATTTGAAGTTATTCACTAAACCTGCAGTGATTTCAATTTAAATGTGACTTTAGAATGTCTTGAACTGAATACCTTTGCTTAATGTGACTGCTTCTTTGACTAATTAATAAATGATTTTACTCCCTTAAAGGGACAGTTCACCCAAAAATGTAAATTCTGTCATGATTTACTCACCTCTGAACCTGTATGAGTTTCGTTATTCTGTTGAACACAAAAGAAGGTATTTTATAGAATTTGGGTAACCAAACAGTTTCTAGTCCCCTTTGAAATACTTCCATAGTATTTTTTTTTCCATACTATGAAAATCAATGGCTACTATCAACTGTTTGGTTACCCACATACTTCAAAATAATATTACACATACTTCTTCACATACTTTCTACTTCAACAGAAGAAAGAAATTCATACAGCTTTGGAACAACTTGAGGGTGAGTAAATGATGGCACTATAATTAACAAACTATAATACACTGTATTACAAAAATACACTGTAATGAACAAGCATAAACTATACTATCCAGAAGCTGTATTTAACATAACCATAATTACCTTTAAATGATCATTTTCCACAAAAGCTTTACTTTATGCATTGATTGCTGTTGTTTCTCCACAGACTAATGATGCTTTGGGGTCGACATGGAATTGGATATATTTCATTCCTCTCATCATTATCGGCTCATTTTTTGTGCTCAACCTTGTTTTGGGTGTTCTTTCTGGGTAAGAATTTCACAAATATTTTACAAAAATTGGCTGTCATTATTCACAGCCATGCTGTTTCAAACCAGATTTCTGGCTTGAAAACCAAAAGGAGAGATTTTAATAATTTTAATATGTATTTTTTACAAATAATAAATGAGAACTGGATCAGTTTAATTTAAACAGAGAACGTCTCGGTTACGTATGTAACCCTCGTTCCCTGAAGGAGGGAACGGAGACGTCACGTCCCGTCGCCACAGCTCCTGTACCACCGCTGAGCGGCCGGGTCACCGGCTCGGCTCCTCAGCGAAAAGCTGAATATGCGCTGCATCTGCTGCCTACTTATACTCACGCTGTGATCAGCAGCAGCTGGATGCAATAATCGCATGCCAATGTGCATTGGCTCGTTTAGTTTACACTCGAAGTGGATTGGTCTCTCTAAGCGAGATCCCAATTCGTCGGTCATCCGACGTGACGTCGAGAGTGACCGACTGAAAGGGAACGTCTCGGTTACGTATGTAACCCTCGTTCCCTGAAGGAGGGAACGGAGACGTCACGTCCCGTCGCCACAGCTCCTGTACCACCGCTGAGCGGCCGGGTCACCGGCTCGGCTCCTCAGCGAAAAGCTGAATATGCGCTGCATCTGCTGCCTACTTATACTCACGCTGTGATCAGCAGCAGCTGGATGCAATAATCGCATGCCAATGTGCATTGGCTCGTTTAGTTTACACTCGAAGTGGATTGGTCTCTCTAAGCGAGATCCCAATTCGTCGGTCATCCGACGTGACGTCGAGAGTGACCGACTGAAAGGGAACGTCTCGGTTACGTATGTAACCCTCGTTCCCTGAAGGAGGGAACGGAGACGTCACGTCCCGTCGCCACAGCTCCTGTACCACCGCTGAGCGGCCGGGTCACCGGCTCGGCTCCTCAGCGAAAAGCTGAATATGCGCTGCATCTGCTGCCTACTTATACTCACGCTGTGATCAGCAGCAGCTGGATGCAATAATCGCATGCCAATGTGCATTGGCTCGTTTAGTTTACACTCGAAGTGGATTGGTCTCTCTAAGCGAGATCCCAATTCGTCGGTCATCCGACGTGACGTCGAGAGTGACCGACTGAAAGGGAACGTCTCGGTTACGTATGTAACCCTCGTTCCCTGAAGGAGGGAACGGAGACGTCACGTCCCGTCGCCACAGCTCCTGTACCACCGCTGAGCGGCCGGGTCACCGGCTCGGCTCCTCAGCGAAAAGCTGAATATGCGCTGCATCTGCTGCCTACTTATACTCACGCTGTGATCAGCAGCAGCTGGATGCAATAATCGCATGCCAATGTGCATTGGCTCGTTTAGTTTACACTCGAAGTGGATTGGTCTCTCTAAGCGAGATCCCAATTCGTCGGTCATCCGACGTGACGTCGAGAGTGACCGACTGAAAGGGAACGTCTCGGTTACGTATGTAACCCTCGTTCCCTGAAGGAGGGAACGGAGACGTCACGTCCCGTCGCCACAGCTCCTGTACCACCGCTGAGCGGCCGGGTCACCGGCTCGGCTCCTCAGCGAAAAGCTGAATATGCGCTGCATCTGCTGCCTACTTATACTCACGCTGTGATCAGCAGCAGCTGGATGCAATAATCGCATGCCAATGTGCATTGGCTCGTTTAGTTTACACTCGAAGTGGATTGGTCTCTCTAAGCGAGATCCCAATTCGTCGGTCATCCGACGTGACGTCGAGAGTGACCGACTGAAAGGGAACGTCTCGGTTACGTATGTAACCCTCGTTCCCTGAAGGAGGGAACGGAGACGTCACGTCCCGTCGCCACAGCTCCTGTACCACCGCTGAGCGGCCGGGTCACCGGCTCGGCTCCTCAGCGAAAAGCTGAATATGCGCTGCATCTGCTGCCTACTTATACTCACGCTGTGATCAGCAGCAGCTGGATGCAATAATCGCATGCCAATGTGCATTGGCTCGTTTAGTTTACACTCGAAGTGGATTGGTCTCTCTAAGCGAGATCCCAATTCGTCGGTCATCCGACGTGACGTCGAGAGTGACCGACTGAAAGGGAACGTCTCGGTTACGTATGTAACCCTCGTTCCCTGAAGGAGGGAACGGAGACGTCACGTCCCGTCGCCACAGCTCCTGTACCACCGCTGAGCGGCCGGGTCACCGGCTCGGCTCCTCAGCGAAAAGCTGAATATGCGCTGCATCTGCTGCCTACTTATACTCACGCTGTGATCAGCAGCAGCTGGATGCAATAATCGCATGCCAATGTGCATTGGCTCGTTTAGTTTACACTCGAAGTGGATTGGTCTCTCTAAGCGAGATCCCAATTCGTCGGTCATCCGACGTGACGTCGAGAGTGACCGACTGAAAGGGAACGTCTCGGTTACGTATGTAACCCTCGTTCCCTGAAGGAGGGAACGGAGACGTCACGTCCCGTCGCCACAGCTCCTGTACCACCGCTGAGCGGCCGGGTCACCGGCTCGGCTCCTCAGCGAAAAGCTGAATATGCGCTGCATCTGCTGCCTACTTATACTCACGCTGTGATCAGCAGCAGCTGGATGCAATAATCGCATGCCAATGTGCATTGGCTCGTTTAGTTTACACTCGAAGTGGATTGGTCTCTCTAAGCGAGATCCCAATTCGTCGGTCATCCGACGTGACGTCGAGAGTGACCGACTGAAAGGGAACGTCTCGGTTACGTATGTAACCCTCGTTCCCTGAAGGAGGGAACGGAGACGTCACGTCCCGTCGCCACAGCTCCTGTACCACCGCTGAGCGGCCGGGTCACCGGCTCGGCTCCTCAGCGAAAAGCTGAATATGCGCTGCATCTGCTGCCTACTTATACTCACGCTGTGATCAGCAGCAGCTGGATGCAATAATCGCATGCCAATGTGCATTGGCTCGTTTAGTTTACACTCGAAGTGGATTGGTCTCTCTAAGCGAGATCCCAATTCGTCGGTCATCCGACGTGACGTCGAGAGTGACCGACTGAAAGGGAACGTCTCGGTTACGTATGTAACCCTCGTTCCCTGAAGGAGGGAACGGAGACGTCACGTCCCGTCGCCACAGCTCCTGTACCACCGCTGAGCGGCCGGGTCACCGGCTCGGCTCCTCAGCGAAAAGCTGAATATGCGCTGCATCTGCTGCCTACTTATACTCACGCTGTGATCAGCAGCAGCTGGATGCAATAATCGCATGCCAATGTGCATTGGCTCGTTTAGTTTACACTCGAAGTGGATTGGTCTCTCTAAGCGAGATCCCAATTCGTCGGTCATCCGACGTGACGTCGAGAGTGACCGACTGAAAGGGAACGTCTCGGTTACGTATGTAACCCTCGTTCCCTGAAGGAGGGAACGGAGACGTCACGTCCCGTCGCCACAGCTCCTGTACCACCGCTGAGCGGCCGGGTCACCGGCTCGGCTCCTCAGCGAAAAGCTGAATATGCGCTGCATCTGCTGCCTACTTATACTCACGCTGTGATCAGCAGCAGCTGGATGCAATAATCGCATGCCAATGTGCATTGGCTCGTTTAGTTTACACTCGAAGTGGATTGGTCTCTCTAAGCGAGATCCCAATTCGTCGGTCATCCGACGTGACGTCGAGAGTGACCGACTGAAAGGGAACGTCTCGGTTACGTATGTAACCCTCGTTCCCTGAAGGAGGGAACGGAGACGTCACGTCCCGTCGCCACAGCTCCTGTACCACCGCTGAGCGGCCGGGTCACCGGCTCGGCTCCTCAGCGAAAAGCTGAATATGCGCTGCATCTGCTGCCTACTTATACTCACGCTGTGATCAGCAGCAGCTGGATGCAATAATCGCATGCCAATGTGCATTGGCTCGTTTAGTTTACACTCGAAGTGGATTGGTCTCTCTAAGCGAGATCCCAATTCGTCGGTCATCCGACGTGACGTCGAGAGTGACCGACTGAAAGGGAACGTCTCGGTTACGTATGTAACCCTCGTTCCCTGAAGGAGGGAACGGAGACGTCACGTCCCGTCGCCACAGCTCCTGTACCACCGCTGAGCGGCCGGGTCACCGGCTCGGCTCCTCAGCGAAAAGCTGAATATGCGCTGCATCTGCTGCCTACTTATACTCACGCTGTGATCAGCAGCAGCTGGATGCAATAATCGCATGCCAATGTGCATTGGCTCGTTTAGTTTACACTCGAAGTGGATTGGTCTCTCTAAGCGAGATCCCAATTCGTCGGTCATCCGACGTGACGTCGAGAGTGACCGACTGAAAGGGAACTGTTTTTTTAAGCATCAAAGGATGCAAAAGCGCCATAAAGGTATTGTTAAAGTAGTTCACATTACTCGTGTCATCTTCTGGAATCATACAGTGTGTTTGAACGATCACAGTGATGTGAACTCATGAACCAGATCCGTCTGATTCGTGAAGAAGCATTCGCATCTGGATCAACTGATTCTTTGTTCATTAATCAGCAACACTATTTACGTTATGAGCAATCAAAAATGCATTAAGGAGAGTTATATTAGGATTTTTAGTAAATAAAGACAAAAGTCTGTCTTATAGCTTCTGAATCTTCGTATAAAGTGCACAAGTCGTATAAATTATTTTTATTATCAGGATTTCTGTGGGTCTTAAAAAGTCTCAATTGACCCTTCCTCAAAGTAGGCCTTTAAAAGGTCTTAAATCGGAGCAGAAAAGTATGGCATGAAATGTTGCAAACACTGCAGAAATGAATATCTTCCTTACTATGTTTGTCTTGTTTTCCAAAACTTAAAAACATCCATTGAAAGTGAAGAAAATGAAATGAGTTTCTGCTTAAAACAAGAACAAATATCTCTCAATGGGGCAAGAAAACTTTTTTTCCACTTTGAATTAAGTTGATTTTTCTGAGCCCATTGGCAGACATTTGTCCATAAACTTGCTGCATTTTGATCAGTTTCTCAAAAAGCATGATTTCTTATCTTGTCATTTTGCCTCTCAATATATCTTTATTTAAGAAACGTTTGCACTGGAAAACAAAACAAAAAACAAGGAAGAGCATCACAGTAAAAGTTATTTCCATATTCTGTTTTTTTTTTTTTATTTACTTACTTTTTGTGAAATTAGTTAAAAAGCAAAGTAGATCTGTTGAAAGCAGGGTTAACTAAAACTAAAGCTAAACATGTTTTTTTTTTCTTTAATTGGTCTTTTAAAGTCTTAAATTTACCTTTATAAAACCTGCAGAAACCCTTATTATACTTTGCTGCTTTTGCATCTTTGTATAAATCGTGAAGGCTCCAGTCCACATTCGTTGTAATTGCAAGGAAAAACCTGTACAGATTTTTCAACTAATATTTAATTTTATGCTAATCCAATCATTTCAAGGTTTGAGATGTAAAAACGAATGCTTGTTTTGAATTGTTCTGAATAAGCAGTCGTGGGTGGGATCGATTACTGTAGCTGCTCTTGCCTTCACAGCGTTTCTCGGTTGTTCACACCTTTACAGGTTGTAAAAGGTCAAAACCTAAAACTTAATATGTGTACATGTCATTTCCTAAATCCTTCTCTAGGGAATTTGCTAAAGAGAGAGAGAGAGTGGAAAACAGACGTGCCTTCATGAAGCTTAGACGCCAGCAACAGGCGGAGAGAGAACTCAATGGCTACCGCGCCTGGATAGACAGAGCAGGTACTGACATTCATTTTAATCTAAAATATTACTGGGTATGCTATCCATGTTCAGAGGCGTTTTTTTTAAAACGCTGTCAAAATGTAGATTTGAGGATTTAGTCTGTGTTTGCAATATTTTGGTACTTTGCAACTGTACAATTTGTTGTTGTTAAGCATAAAACAAAATGTTTATTGTATCTTGGAGTTTGTGATGAAGTCAGGATGGAGATTGTTCTTGTATGCATTCTAGTGTTTGCATTGGTTTATTAGTCTTTTGTCGTTCATGTGGATCAGTCTTGTTGTTTTTAGCATGCAGTGTTTGTGTTTAGCACTCGTGTTTTTTGTCAGATGTTGTGTATTGAACGTTAGAGGTGAGAAACAAGCCTGCAGTTCCTGGTATTGAATGCTTCCTTTAACGGACTAGTTCACCCACAAATTAAAATTTGCTGAAAGTTTACACACCCTCGAGCCATCGAAGATGTAGATGCGTTTGTTTCTTCATCAGATTTGTAGAAATGTAGCATTGCATCAGTGTCTCAGCAATGGATGCTCTGCAGTGAATGGGTGCCGTCAGAATGAGAGTCCAAACAGCTGATAAAAACATCACAATAATCCACAAGTAATCCACAGCACTCCAGTCCATCAGTTAACATCTGGAGAAGACAAAAGCTGAAACAAACCCAGCATTAAGACGTTTTTAACTTAGAACTGTTCCTTTCGGCTAAAATACGAGTCCATAATCCAGTGAAAAAGTGTTCTGGTCTGAATCAGGAGAGAAATCTGCACAGATCTAAACAGCTCTAAACAAATATGTGGCTAGATTAAATGAGTCCTCTATTCATAATAATGCTTCCTCCAGTGAAAAAGTGCATCTCCTGTTGTCTCTCACATCAAAATCCAGCCACATATTTGTTTAGAGCTGTTTAAACGCTGCTTGATCTGTGCAGATTTCTCTCCTGATTCGAGGAGATGCACTTTTTCACTGGAGGAAGCGATATTATGGATTATGGACTTGTATTTTAGCTGGAAGCGATGGTTTGAAGTTAAAACGTCTTAATGATGAACTTGTTTCAGCTTTTGTCTTCTCCAGATGATAACTGATGGACTGGAGTGCTGTGGATTACTTGTGGATTATTGTGATGTTTTTATCAGCTGTTTGGACTCTCATTCTGACGGCACCCATTCACTGCAGAGCATCCATTGCTGAGACACTGATGCAGTGCTACATTTCTCCAAATCTGATGAAGAAACAAACTCATCTACATCTTGGATGGCCAGAGGGTGAGGACATTTTAAGACCATTTTCATTTTTGGGTGAACTAGTCCTTTAAATAGTTTTGTTAGGGGCCATGTGGTTGTATGCCAGGTTGTAAAAGTGCTCTTGAGAGCAGAGGGAAGAAGACATCAAGTGATTTTTAGGCTGTTGATGCACTAATATCTGCTGACGTAACGCCTTACATGTAACAGTAGCTGGTAGAAACACATAAAAACCTCTTGATGCTTAATTGGCTAATTTATTACTAGCACAGCCGCATGCTCAGACTTAGACTGCTGCTATGCTAAAATATTTCCAGTACACTACAGTGGTATTATGTGCTTGTTTTAAAATGCAATGCTATTTGTAATCTTTTGATTTTTGTAATCATCTTTTGGCTCAATAATTTCAGCCAGGCTAGCGAAGTTTCACTGTCTTTACCCAGGTTCAGTGACAGACTGTGCTCTGATTGTGTACTACACCTACACTACTCTTTTCACATTTCACCCTGCCACCCACCACCTGAGCACAACATTCAGGTGAACATGAGTTTGTGAAGCTGCTCATTCTCCCACGCAGTGAAGGGTCAACGGAAAGGTGACACTGACTCACTGACTGGAGTGTTTGTATATGTGCCTGTCTGTGCTCAGAATAGTTGATGCTTCTACAGTTTAGAAGATTACTTTTAAGAGGCCTACAAATTGTCTTTTTTTCCAGAAACCAAACTGAATAAACCAATAATTTATTTAATTAATGTTGAGTTAATTGTGTTACTTCATTGCTAATATATTAAATAAATTCTCTCTCTCTCTCTCTCTCTCTCTCTCTCTCTCTCTCTCTCT